CATCGCCCTGTTTGGGATCTTTTTGCTTGGGACGCTCTGTGCCTCATGAACTTGTGTGATTTTTTCCTTTATCTGGTTAGGGAAATTTTCTGCCATTATTTCTTCAAACACATTCCCTCTCCCTTTCTCCCTCTTCTGGCACACCCGCTATTCTAATATTGTTGTTTCACATTGTCTCACAGTTGCCTTAAGCTGTCCTCCTATTTTTTCCATTGTTTTTCCTTTTGGTTTTCTGATTAATTTTTCCAATCTTGTCTTCTAATTCACTGATTCGATCCTCAGCTTCCCCTAATCTGCTGTATATTCCTTTCAATGTGTTCTTTATTTGTGCTATGTCATTCTTTATTTCTGTTTTCATGGGTACTATATCTTTTCTCATGCTGTTGAGCATCTTTACCATTATTATTCTGAACACTATATCAGATAAATTTCTTATCTTCATTTATCTCTTCCTTTGGAGAATTCTCGTTCTCTCATTTGGGGGCTTTGTATTTCCTCATTTTGGCTGCCTGTTTGGGTTTCTGATTATGTATTAGGTAGAACTGCTACGCCTCTCAATCTTTAGTGTCAAATGCTGTTTCTGGCTAATTAGATCAGGCAAAGCCTCCAGAGACCACCTCTGTCTCCAGACTGATAGGATTCTGTCTTGAATTATCCACAAGTATGGAGACAGTTTTTAAAACAAGGTGGGACAATTGCTTCTGCCTGGAGGCTGTTATTCTCAGTCTGCTAATGGGCCTCAGATACTCCACACCATCAGCATTCTGAGCTCTAACCCCAGAGTCCCTTCACACAGTCCCAGTCCACTTTGCCCTCCCTCTGCTGGAGCACAAGGTGAGTGGCTCCCCAGGGAATTTTGTGCATTGGCCCTTTAAGACAGTGCCTGAATTTCCAGCTGTTTTTTCCTGGCAGACAGCAACCCTGCTGCTTTTCATAGCCAGATGTTATGTGGGTACCTTTCTCAGTACTGGTGCTCTCTGCTGGGGGGCCCAGCTTGTGCAGCATCCACTTACCCTCTTACTTTTGGTGCCTCCCAAGACACACAGCCTCGTCATATCTTTCATCAATGGCTTCTTTATAGATGGTGTTTCCTCTAACACATTACATCCTGTTGAAAGGTAGCATCTGACTCCCCCTTAGTGCCCAGCACAGAGTGTCTCCCATGAAATGCTCAATAATATGTGCCTTGGTTCTTTTATGATCTTTACCAATGACTGCACAATATACTATAATCACATCTGAGTAGCCCTTGGCTAATGAAGCTATACTAACTTTCCAGGCATCAGTGATCTTCAATGACATGCACGTAACCTCTATTCAGGAACAAAGAGGGCAGCTGTACTTACCCAGAGGACCCTGTACTGAGAAGTGATCCTGAAGTCCTTCAGGCTTCTCATCTCATAGGATAAAGCCTCTCCTCTTCTCTATATGGGGACCTGAAGCTTCCTTCATTCTGTCCTTTCTCTCAAACAGCTCTGTAGGGCACCCTCCCTGCCTGTAGCCCTGCTGTGTTCTTGTCTCACTTTCTCCTATCTGGCACTTTGTCTCCTCAGAGCATTTTGAGTAATAAGTATATTCTCCTCAAAATGGCTCGAAGACCAAGGAGAATTTATTGGAAGGAAATGAAATTGTCTTGTAAGAACCCCACAAAAAGTGAAACAGTAAGTAGATAAAAGTGATAGATGATTAGGAGGACCCACTAAATGTGACATTTCAGGCCAGAATGAAGCAGCAGCCATGTGAAGATGATAATGATGAAAATAGTTAATACTCATTGAATGCTTTTAAGAAGCCAGGCATTATAAGCATTTTACACCAACTAACTCATTTAATCTTCATAATAATCCTGTGAAATAGTTGTTATCACCATTTTACAGATGGGAAACTGAGGCATGGTGCAGTGAAGTAATATGTCCAACATCATACAAAGCCCTTATACATGCAACTTGGAAATATACCCAGATAACATGGCTCCAGAACCTATGTTCTCCACACACACATAGACATGTATATGTACACACACTTTTGAGCTCTTGAAGGGTATGGAGTGTGCCTTATTTATCTGCCCCATAGCTGATGCTCAAGAAATGGCTAACAGACATAACTGAGCATGATTCTGTATCAGTGACCATAACATCGTTATGATCTCAGCCTTATCTTTTACCATAACAAGTTAATGTACTCATTGTTTTCTAAAAACCTTCTCTATTTTTATTTAAAACTCTGGCTTTCTTCTCCTAGTTCAGTATCACTGTAAAAGCATTTTAAATCAAAAATTGTAAATCATTACCATGTGTATGCTTATGTTTTTTATTTCTTAATCTTTATTGTTGAAAGTACTATAGATGTCCCCCTTTTCCCCCTATAACCCCCTCTACCCTGCTCCCAGCTTCTGGCTCCTCCCCAGGCTTTACCTGCATTATTGTCTGTCCTTGGGCTATGCATCTATGCATATAACTTCATTGGTTAATCTCTTCCCACCCCATTTCCTTCTGAAATACACCAGTCTATTGTATGCACCTTTTGAAATGACAATGTATGGGTATCTGGATGAATTCTCTCATAAAATAACAAAATGACATAAAATTATGTGTAGTGAAGGCAAATAAACCTGGGGAATTAAAAGGACTACTTCATTTGTGCAGTACCAGTGCTTAAGAGAGCAGAGAGAGGATAGAGAATAGGAGAAACAGAAAGTTACTGGCATTATCCCATAACTATATATTATGTAGTGGCTAGTCTACCCATAATTACAACATTTCTTTATCTTTGATACCATGCCATGCTTCCTTCATTATCCCTCAAAGATCCTTCAACATTCCCTAGAATTTCAAAATCTCATGACTAAAAATCAAAGGAAATATAAGTCTCTGCTTAAGATTAAAAATTCTCCATCTCATTCCAAACCACTCTATTGAGAATTGCTAAGGAATGTGCCTTGGTTTTCAGTTAAAGTAGCACATGTACTAGAGTAGTATTTTATCTAAAGTCTGAAACCCTATCACACACTCCACATCGGAATTATTATATCAGGATATACCATTCTGGTTTAAAATAATTTATTACAATTATCAGATGCCATAGAGAACATAATTTGAAATATAACTACATAAACTGCCCTTTAGTTCCAACAGTGTCCACACAATCCTAACCATTGATCTATGTTACCTTTCCAGTCACAAGATAGGAAACCATGGGAGACAGGAAACTTACTTATGGGGATAAGACTATTCCATCTCTTATATAATTCTTATATAAGACTAGAGGCCCGGTACACGAAATTCGTGCACTGGAGGATGAGTGTCCCTCAGCCCAGCCTACACCCTCTCCAATCTAGGACCCCTTGGGGGATGTCCAACTGCCGGTTTAGGCCAAATCCCTGGAGTCGGACATCCCTCTCACAATCCAGGACTGCTGGCTCCCAACCGGCAGTCGGACATCCCTCTCACAATCTGGGACTGCTGGCTCCCAACCTCTCACCTGCCTGCCTGCCTGATTTCCCCTAACCACTTCTGCCTGCCAGCCTGATCCCCCCCTAACCACTCCCCTGCCAGCCTGATCGACACCTACTGCTCCCTGCCGGCCTGGTCCCACTCAACTGCCCTCCCCTGCAGGCCCGGTTGCCCACAACTACCCTCCCCTGCTAGCCATCTTGTGGCTGTGGGCGCCAACATCTTTGAGGGCATGGCAGTCAATTAGCATATTCCCTCCTTATTGGCTGTGGGTGCCACCATCTTTGAGGGCGTGGCAGTCAATGAGCAAATTCCCTCCTTATTGGCTGTGGGCACCACCATCTTTGAGGGCAGGGCAGTCAATTAGTATATTCCCTCCTCATTGGCTGTGGTCAATTAGTATATTCCCTCCTCATTGGCTGTGGGCGCTGCCATCTTTTGTGATGGTGTGAGGGTCAATTAGCATGTTCCCTCTTTATTAGATAGGATATTTGAAGCCATGCTCCTTATAAACCGTAATTATCAAGGTTCATTGTAGGAAACAAAAACTCTCATTTCAAGACATATATTACAGAAAATTAATGGTTTCAAAATTGGCAGGTAGGCTGGAGTGGTTTAGATAAACCTCTAAAACTATGATTCAGGGAGGGATAAATGACTGCTGCTATTACTAGTGATGCTGCCAACAGTAATACCCCAAAACCATAAAATCTGAAACTAGACACTGGATCACAGGTGTCTACCTGCAGCAAATACAACAGAACTTGCTGGTGTGCTTTGCCTACAATGACCCCCAGACTGTGTGTGCTTGCAGTTTCATACTTAGTCCTCATCCTTCAGGATTCTAATTAAAAAGCATATCCAGCCCGGCCAGTGTGGTTCAGTGATTGAGCATCGACCCATGAACCAGGAAGTCATGGTTCAATTCCCAGTCAGGGCACATGCCCGGGTTGTGGGCTCAATCCCCATTAGGGGGCGTGCAGGAGGTAGCAGATCAATGATTCTCTCTCATTATTGATGTTTCTATCTCTCCCTCTCCCTTCCTCTCTCTGAAATTAATAAAAATATGAATTTTTAAAAGCATGCTCTGATCCCTCATAGTATGCTATTTCTTGATTATGTTCTCACAAGTACTTGTTAAAAATTTAAATGTGTGAATTAATCCAGTGGAAAAGGACTATGAAATGTCCTTACCAAAAATGAAATTCTTAGCACAGAGATTAGGCAGTTTTTCTTTTTTAACATATATATTTTATTGATTTCAGAAAGGGAGAGGAAGAGATAGAAACATCAATGATGAGAGAGAATCACTGATCAGCTGCCTCCTGCATGCCCCCTTTTGGGGATTGAGCCTGCAATCCAGGCATATGCCCTGACTGGGAATCGAACCATGACCTCCTGGCTCACAGGTTGACACTCACTGAGCAACACTGGCCGGGCCAGTTTTTCTTTAGATTTGCTAGTCTCCCACTAAAGGGTGTTGTCAGTCTGCTCTTAATTCATCAAGAGGAAAGTAGTAGAAAGTTTTACAAGACATATCAGTGTCACTGTGAGTTTAATATATACAACTGGTTTTATTAGAGACTAAGAATTTCATTCACACCACTTTTTACTTCTTTTGCAAATTTAATTTTCATCTTTATAACATTTACTCAATCCACTGAGTAACTAAATATCTTCCCATGCCCATTAACCAAAGATAATTTCTATGTAGAACTTAAGTAAAATTGCAAGCTACTGCTATAAGAAATGCATATTTATTTATAATATGCTTGTTTGCTCTCCTGTAAAACTGTCTACAAATGGCATCATTGCAAAGATTTACACATAATTCCTACATCCTTCAGGTTGTTCTAGCATTAGTACACAGGTTGTTCCAAACATTCCATGTCTAAGAAAATAAGAGCTCTTAGTGAACACTTTGCTACATTTCTTACATAAGCTTTCTCTGCAGTGTGAGTTCTTTGATGTAGCATGAGGGATGCACTTTAACTAAAGGACTTTCCACAAATTTATATTCATATTTTGTCTCTCTTGTACATGTTTGTACATATTTCATAAGAGATTCATATTGCCAAGTCTTCCCCATATTTGTTATTACATATATAGAACAGTAAATACAGTGTGGGTTTACTTATTAAAAGATTAATACTGGCTAAAGGCATTCTCACATTTATTACCTTCATATGGTCTCTCTTCAGTGTGAACTCTGGACAATGTGTCTTGTACCATTGCTAAAGACCTTCCTATAGTTATTATTCTCTTAAGACTTTTCTCCAATATAGATTTTCTGTTGCTCAATCAGGGAGGATCAATGGCTGAAATATATTATGAAAAACACTGCATTCATACAGTTTCTCTCATATATGATTTTTCACACGTATAGTGATTCAGATAGCCTAAAGGTTTTTCCACACTTAGGGCACTACTGAGTTTCTCTCCATTATGTATCCTCTGATGGGCAGTAAGATTTGAGCCTTTGCAAAAAGCTTTCCCACATTCATTACATTTATATGGCTTTTCTCCAGTATGAATTCTCTGATGTACAGTAAGATTTGAACTACAACTGAAGGTCTTCCCACATTTTATACATTCATAGGGTTTCTCTCCAGTATGAATTCTGTGATGTTGAAGCAGGGATGACCTATGACTGAAGGCTTTCCCACATATATTGCATTCATAAGGTTTCAATCTAATGTGATTTCTCAAATGCATATTCAGTGATTCAGGCTGGTTGAAGGATTTCCTGCATTTCTGACATTCAAAGGGTTTTTCTTCAGTATGAATACTCTTATGCTGAATAAGAAATGAGAGGCTACTAAAGACTTTCAGACATTTGTTGCATTCAAATTGTTTCTCTATAGTGTGAATTCTTTGATGTCGAGTAAGGTGTGAGCTACAGCAAAAGGCTTTTCTACATTCACTACATTCATAAGGTTTCTCTCCAGTATGAATTTTCTGATGGTGAATGAGAGATGACCTATGAATGAAGGCCTTCTCACATATTTGACACTCATAGAGTTTTTCTTGAGTATGAATTCTCAGATGCTCAATGAGATGTGAAACACGACTAAAAGACTTTCCACAGTTCATACATTCATATGGTTTCTCTCCAGTGTGAGTGCTTTGATGATTAGTAAGTGATGAGACATGGCTAAAGGCCTTCCCACAGTCAATACATTTGTAAGGTTTCTCACCACTATGGCTTATCTGATGGCGAGTAAGGGATGAGCCATGGCTAAAAGTCTTCCCACATTCACGACATTCATAAGGCTTCTCTCCTGTATGAATTCTCCAGTGGCGATTAAGAATTGATTGTTTGCCAAAGGCTTTCCCACATTCACTGCATGTATAGATTTTCTCTCTATTATAAGTCTGGTGAAGGGTACGAGATTTGCTCTGGCTGAAGGCTGCCACACTTCCATTAGAATTCAAAAGTTTCTTTCCACCATTGATATTCTCATTTTTTATAAATGACTTTTTCGGTAAGATCTTCTTAAATATATCATGTTTATGTGATTTCCCTTCAGCAGAAATTCTCTGTAGTTCAGAAAGAATAGACTTTAAATTTAAATAGAAAATGCTTCTAAATGTATAGTATTTATAAACACATTCCCCATTGGGATTTTCTCTAAAGGTGAATGTCACTGGTCTAAAATGTTCTACCTAATTTACATGCTTTCCCTCCAACTTCTCTATATATTCCCAGTCCTTGTTAAAATTTGAAAATTCACAACTTTATCATTTTTTCTATTATTACCGTTTGGGGTGAGTCATCTTCATAAATATCCTCCTTCGCTGATAATTCTCTGTTTTCCCATCTTAATTTCCAATCTGCAATATATCAAGAAAGCAAAGCACTTCTTTTTACGTACTTCTTGGAAAGAAATTTCTATGATAGAAATAGAATTGGATAAAAAATAAAGTCCCACCCACCCGCCAGCTCGAAAACCCATAACTCTGACAACTCTTATACATTCAATGATTTCTGAAAAAAGTTAAAGCAGAGCACAGAAAACACAGACAGCTCACAGAGGTAGGAACAGAGTACAATAAGGGACAGGGGTTAATTAAGGGCAATCAATATCTTGGAAAAAATGAAACTGTCAAGCAGAATGTGCAGAAGGCATTCTGGAATCCAAGCCAATATTTTGTGCCTATATTTATGTGAAAGAACACATTCAATCTCAGAGCCTTGGTTCTAGAACAGGGGTGGGCAAACTTTTTGACTCGAGGGCCACAATGGGTTCTTAAACTGGACCAGAGGGCCAGAACAAAAGCATGGATGGAGTGTTTGTGTGAACTAATATAAATTCAAAGTAAACATCATTACATAAAAGGGTACGGTCTTTTTTTTTTTTTTTTAGTTTTATTCATTTCAAATGGCCGGATCCGGCCCGCGGGCCGTAGTTTGCCCACGGCTGTTCTAGAACCTTTAATCAATCTCAATTTGCTGTCAGATTAGTATGCTTAAAATGCAGAATTTATGCTGAAACCGGTTTGGCTCAGTGGATAGAGCGTCGGCCTGCGGACTGAAAGGTCCCAGGTTCGATTCCAGTCAAGGGCATGTACCTGGGTTGCGGGCACATCCCCAGTAGGAGATGTGCAGGAGGCAGCTGATCGATGTTTCTCTCTCATTGATGTTTCTAACTCTCTATCTCTCTCCCTTCCTCTCTGTAAAAAATCAATAAAATATATTTTAAAAAATGCAGAATTTATAGTGTTGCATTAAACAGTTACAATGACAACAAAATAATCTAAATATACTTTACAGCTCACAAAAATTTAGGCTTTTGTGAGTTTATGTAGTATCTATGTAAAATCATAATTTTCTTGGACATTAGAAAATACTGTTCTTAGAAACTTTCTTATACGTTCTTTATTTCCTCTAACACTTGTTTATGTTCATATTTGATCTCTGAAGTTCAGCCTTAGCGGAAAAGTGATTTTCTATCCAACTGACAGCTTTTCCTAACCTAAAACCATCAGTATATTTTCCCTTAAGTGGATTTATTTATTTATTTATTTATTTTTATTGCTAAAAGTATTACAAAGGGTATTACATATGTGTCCTTTTTTTTTCTCCCTCCCCCACCGCCCTTGACAATCCCCTGGCCTCCCTTACCCCCCCAGTGTCTTATGTCCATTGGTTATGCTTATATGCATGCATACAAGTCCTTCGGTTGATCTCTTACCCCCCTCCCTCCTGCCCCCCCAACCCTCCCTGGCCTTCCCGCTGCAGTTTGACAATCAGTTTGAGGCAGCTCTGCCTCTGTATCTATTATTGTTCAAAAGTTTGTAATGGTCTTTATTATCCATGAATGAGTGAGATCATGTGGTATTTTTCCTTCATTGACTGGCTTATTTCACTTAGCATAATGCTCTCCAGTTCCATCCATGCTGTTGCAAATGGTAAGAGTTCCTTCTTTTTTACAGCAGCATAGTATTCCATCATGTAGATGTACCACAGTTTTCTAATCCATTCATCTACTGATGGGCACCCCTTAAGTGGATTTAAAAAGAATAATTTGCCTCCACTTTAAAATTTTTATTTATTTAATTTATTATTATTTTACTATATTTTTATTGATTTCAGAGGGAGAGGGAGAGATAGAAACATCCATGATGAGAGAGAATCATTGATCAGCCGCCTCTTGCACACCCCACACTGGGGATCGAGCCCACAACCCGGTAATCGAACTGTGACCTCCTGGTTCATAGATTGACGCTCAAACACTGAGCCATGATGGTCAGGAAAAAACCTCCACTTTTGATTAGATGACATGAATAATACAGAAAGATAATTTTGGATGGAGAAATGGTTATTCTGAAATCTAAGCTTAAGGATCCCTCAATTTTGTTATATTTTGGGAATCTCTGAAGACAGTCTCCCTAAGATTTCCTAAAATGCCCGCCTCCACCCCCCCCCCCCCGGCCCACTTTCTACAAGCATCTTTAACAAAGACCTCTTTTGCCTGATTCACCATGATTTACCTGAAAACATACCTTTTCTCAGTTTTTTCTCCACCATCCAAGGTTCTTTCCCATCCTCCAATAAAGTGATCACATATGGCTTAGGTATCGAAAGACCTGCTTACAGGAAAAATATGGAATTTGTTTAAGCTGTGGTCCTCATGGGGAGATGCCATCATCACAAAAGGGGCCAAAGGACAGTTTAAAGAATGTTCCCTGAAAGGGAAGATAAGCTTCAGGCAGGATATAACAGAGCTTCACTTTCCTTGGGAACATAAAAAGAAAAATTCAGCCATTTACTCAGGAAGATTTCCATCAATTCGGAGTGGCAAAAAAAAAAAAAATCTCCCCTGTTGATGTGGAGGTGGAAGTAAGCAAATTATAATATGCTTACCTAGAGAGACCAGGTTCTCATAATTCTGGACCATCACATCCTTGTATAAATCCCTCTGAACAGAATCTAGCCATCCCCACTCTTCATGAGAGAAGTCTATGGCCACATCACTAAATGTTACCTGAAATAGCAAACACATTTAGGCTCAATTATAACCCAGACCTCCTCTTGTAACTGGACAAAGGGTAAAGTTACCCTGGTTATAAAAGGGGACAAGATGCAGCAATTGTGACAGTAATTAGAAATCTGATATAAGTAAACTAATAATTGGGTAATTACATTCTTGGCATTGTTGTACAGTAAGGGTGAGACAAATTAAGAACTTTGCTTCAGGAGAGTTAATTTTTTCAAAGGGAATAGAGTTATAATTTTTTTTTTAAATCAGCATTCAAAAAAATCAGCATTCAACATTTAACAGCACATAGTCAAATTGTTTTTTTGTCATTTTTTTTAAAAATATACTTTTATTGATTTCAGAGAGAAGGGATAGGGAGAAAGAGATAGAAACATCAATGATAACAGATAATTATTGATGGGTTGCCTCCTGCATGCCCCTACTAGAGACTGAGCCTGTGCCCTAACCGGGAATCAAACTGTGACCTCCTGGTTCATAGGTTGACCCTTCAACCACTGAGCCATGCTGGTTGGGCTCAAGTTGTGTTTTTTATAACTTACATGCTAGGTAAATAAAAATGTTAAGAGTAGACATATACATAACTAATTTATAAACAACAAAAAAACACTTATGGTATACTTAAATCTTGTATTGATCATCAATCTGTAATTAAAATAACTTAAGATTCCTTGTACAACAAGACTGAAGGATGGTTTCATGCCATAGGTAGTCCTTGAATAGAACCTTAAAGTAAGGGTAAAGAATAACATTTCACGGAAAATATTATAAGGAAGTAGGTTTCTTCTCAGAAACAGTGATCATTCATGGTGGTATTAAAATATCAAAACATTAGAAGAAGTTTAAATGTTTATTATGCTTACTGGTTAGTCAAATTATAACATATGCAAAAATGTATGTATTTAAAATGGCATTATTAATATCTTTCATTGGTAAAATAGACATTGCTTGGCCATGGTAAATTTTTCACTCCATAAGTGGTTGATTCAATATTCTATTACTGAGAACCAAGATGGTAGCATAAGTAAACACCAGTACTCGCCGCCTCCCACAACCACATCAAAATTACAACTAATTTTGTAAGCTGGCTGAATGGAAGTCCTACTACTAGAGAAGTAAATAAGAAAGCACCTTGAAACTGGTAGGAGGGACAGAGGCTCAGACTGGGCTGGTCAGGCACCCAGAGGGGCCTTTTTTTTTTTTTTTAACCCAGAGGGAGATTGTCCCTGCGGAGGCTGCTATGAGGAGCAAGAGGTCCCAGCCCCACACCAGACCACCCACCCAGGGCCCCAGAGCTGAAAAAAGAAGTCCCTGTAACTTTGGGCTGTAAAAACCAGTGGGCATTGGGGCTGAGAGATATGAAGGCTGCCCAAGACACAGGTGTCCCTCTCAAAGGACCAGGCATGAACTTACTCGGACTTGTTTCCTCTGAGCTCCAGCGCCAGGAGACGTTAGGGGACCCAGACACATATGGGGAGGAACTGAATTGTCTGGTATTGGGGCAGGAACTCGGGAGCGGCTTTCTATCAGTCAGAGGTGCTTGCAGAGGTCATTGTTCCTATGCCAAGACCTCCCCTGTCCCAGGGCTGACTGGAAACCATATCTGAGTCCCCATCAACCTGGAGCACACTGTTTGCCCTGCCCTAGTGATTCCCTGAGAGCCCACCCCATCCAATTTGCAGCCCCACCCAAGCTGTTTGCAGCAGTTTTTCCATAAGAATGGCCTGTCCTGGCTCAGGCTTCACACTTTGCTAAAATCTCTTAAACAAGCTGCAGCTGGTGTCAGCGTGCCCCAAACCTATCCATAAAAGGCCCAAGACCCAGCACCAGCCTGCCTTGCTTCACAGCTGGGCCTCGCCTGGGCACTTCTAAACCTGATACAAATAGGAGAAATCTGCAGATCTTTCTGTAGCTCCTGCCGGATGGCCACAAGACAGTGGCTGACTTTGCATCTCCCTGGAGACCCAAGAACCTGTGCACCTGGTGGACAGCTTTAGACCATACCAGATTACAACTCTACACCTCAACAAGCAACACACTGAAGGAGCAGACTCAGTGAGCACCACCACCCTACTGAAGCAAGTCCTGCTCCACAGGGGTATTTCCTGCACAGCAGGTCTCCCACTATAGTCACAGCTGGTACTCATAGCCAATTGGTCTGAAGGTGAATTCCTCCCAGTGACACCAACAGCAATCAAGTCTCAACTACAACAAAACTGTGCACACAGTCCACAAAAGGGTGCATCTAGAGTGCTCAGCTCAGGAGACTGGAGAGGCTGAGCCACTGGGCTCTATGGGACACCTACTACACAAGGCCACTCTACCAACTCCAGGAAACATTACAGTTCTACCTAATACATAGAAACAAACATAGGGAAGCAGCCAAATTATTGAGATAAAGAAACACGTCATAAATGAAATAAATACTAGAAAGCAGAGTTCAAAACCATGGTTATAAGGTTACTCGAGGGTTTTCATGAGATCTTCAAGGGACTTAGTGAGACTTTTAAGGATCTGGTGAGAATGCCAAAGACATGGAAAAGGACCAGTCAGAAATTAAGCATACACTACATGAAATAAAGAATAATTTATAGTGATTCAAGAGTAAAGGATTCCGATAATCAAATAAATGATTTTAAATATGAGGAAGCAAAAAACACCAAATCAGAAGAGCAAAAAGATTCCAAAAATATGAAGATAGTGTAAGGAGCCTCTCAGACAACTTCAAGGGTACCAACATTCACGTTATGAGGTTGCCAGAAGGAGAAGAGAGCAAGATATTGAGAACATATTTAAAGAAATAATGACAGAAAACTTCCCCTACCTGGTGAAAGAAATAGACTTACAAGTCTAGGAAGCGCAGAGTCCCAAACAAGAGAAACCCAAAGAGGCCCACACCGAGACACATCATAATTAAAATGCCAAGGGTTAAAAGCAGCAAGAGAAAAGCTGTTAGTTACCTACCAGGGAGCGGCCATACGACTGTCAGCTGATTCCTCAACAGAAACTATGCAGGCCACAAGAGAGTGGCAAGAAATATACAAAGTGATGAATAGCAAGAACCTACAACCAAGATTACTCTACCCAGCAAAGCTATCATTTAGAATTGAAGGTCAGATAAAGAGCTTCCCAGACAAGAAAATGCTAAAGGAGTTCATCACCACCAAACCAGTATTACATGGAATGTTGAAGGGTATTCTTTAAGAAAAGGAAGAAAAAAATAAAAAATATGAACAATAAAATGGCAATAAATCTATCAACAACTGAATCTAAAAATCAAAATAAATAAGAAGTAAATATACACTGAGTGGCCAGATTATTATGACCACCTGATGTTTGTAGGCAAATTAGCTATAATTTCGCACTGAAGTTGCTAGAGGGGCCAGACCATTATAAATAGGGAAGCAGGTTGTTGGACAGTCGAGCATTGGAAAAAAGTCATGTGGTCCGATGAATCACGTTTACAGTTGCATCATGCAGATGGCAGAGTGAGAATTTGGCAGAAACAGCATGAAAGCATGCACCCCACATGCATGAGTATTTCCATCACACTCAAGGTGCCAAAGAGCCACATGTGGCTCACGAGCCGCAGTTTGCCGACCACTGTACTAGTATGTTCACTAGTGACACTGGTCTTTGGTTTCAAAACGGGAATTTACCTTTGTCAGATGTTGGGGAAATAATTAAAAACCATTATCTACAAACAAGAGGAACTGTCAAGCAGAAAATCTTCTCTACAATGTAGAAAAGAAAGAGACAGGTTTATTATTGAATAAGCATTAAACCAGACTTCATAGGACATCACTAATGAGACTTTAAGGACAGAAAGAAATCTGATCCTTTTACAAAGCCAGGTAGATACAACCAATATATACATGCTTTCAAAATAAGTAACTTGTCCTCCATTTGCTACACATAGTTCATCCTACATTCACCTGGTAACTGATATAACCATCTGTGTTAACTGCCTTTACTCCAAAGAAAAATAAAACTTCTTTATCTTTATGATAAGCAGACAGAACTTGAAACCAGAAGCCTAGGCTAAACTCCCACAGACAGGTAGTTAAGGGTGCATCTTCCTTCATGTTTGTATTTCAAAGAAATGGGTCCAAAGCCCTAAGAAAGACTCTACTTCCTTGAAATATTGGCAGAGGGTATTAAGCTTTGAAAAAGATTTATAAGCATCTCAAGGGGACAAGGAAAGCATTTACAACGACAGGTTTTTCTCAAGGAAATATTCTAAGAAAAGGAAGGGGTGGAACAACGTCTAAATAGCACAACATACCTAAGTATCGCTGCTGATCAAGTTCATCCTATCATGTTGATGGCGTATCCCAATGGAGATGGCTTCTTCCAACAAGACAATGCGCCATGCCACAGTGCTCGTATCGTGCAGGAGTGGTTTCAAGAACATGAGGGAGACTTTACCTTGCTTAGGTGGCCCCCACAATCACCAGATTTCAATCCAATTGAGCATTTGTGGGACAAAGTTAAAAGAGCCATCAGGCAGCTGGTTCCACAACCATCAAATCTCACAGAACTGGACAGTGCTATTCATCAGGCATGGTGTCAGATTCCTCGCATCACCTTTCAACATCTCGTGGAGTCAATGCCAAGAAGAATCACCACAGTATTGAAGGCAAAAGATGGCCCAATGAAGTACTGATGGGGTGGTCACAATAATCTGGCCACTCAGTGTGTATATATATATCCCATGTTCAAAGGCTGTTAAATCGTGTTGTTTACCCATATCTTCAGAAAAAAGTCACTTCTACTGTCGTGGTAAACAACCTGCTTCCCTAATTATAATGGTCTGGCCCCTCTAGCAACTTCAGCGCGAAATTATAGCTAATTTGCCTACAAACGTCAGGTGGTCATAATAATCTGGCCACTCAGTGTATATATTCTATTAATTTATTAGGATATTTTGCATGTACTAGTTACAGTGGTCGGCAAACTGCGGCTCGCGAGCCATATGCGGCTCCTTGGCCCCTTGAGTGTGGCTCTTCCACAAAATACCGACTTCTGTGCATGGGCCACGAAGTTTCAATCGCACTGTACGTGGGCGCCCGCACGTGGTATTTTGTGGAAGAGCCACATTCAAGGGGCCGGAGCAGCGAAGCCTGCCGGCTCCAGCCGGAGCCCAGGCAGAGCGAAGGCCTGGGTCCCGGGTGCCAGAGGCAAACTGGTGCCAGCAGCCAAGGGAAGGGAAGGCCTATTGCACGAATCTCTTCGTGCGACAGGCCTCTAGTTTTATATAATAAGAGGATCATTGTGACAGCTGTATTAAGGAGAGTCAAGGTCAGAAGCAGAGAATCCTGCTAGGAAGCTACTGCAATAATCAAGATTGGCGTGGACCATGGTGGCAGTGGAGGTGGCAATGATGGGGTAACTAATGGTCAGATTCTGTATATATCCTGTACGTATAAATTTTAGAACTAACTGAAGTGCCTGAATGTGAGTTTTAAGAGAAAGGGGGGAATCAAGATGACTCCAAACATCTCTTGACTTAAATAACTGAAAGGACTTATATACCATTAATTGAGACCACATGATACAGCTTTAACAACCATAAAGCAAATAGCCTAAATTTCCAAATTTGAATTTTGAATTGTAATTTTTAAAAGTTTAGCCCTAGCCAGTTTGGCTCAGTGGATAGAGCGTTGGCCGGAGGACTGAAGGGTCCCAGGTTTGATTCCAGTCAAGGGCATGTACCTCAGCTGCAGGCTCCATCCTCAGCCCTGGTTGGGGCACCTGTGGGAAGCAACCAATCACATCGCTGTTTCTCTATCTGTGTTTCTCCCCCTTCCTTCCACTCTCTCTAAAAATCAATGGGAAAATATTCACAGGTAAGGATTAACAACAACAAATGCTTGCTCAAGACTCTACAGAGGCTTCTAGCAGACAACTGGTAGAAAAGAGAAACTTAAAGAAGATAATACTTTGGAGTTCTTCAGGCTCCATCCTTTGCTACAGTGAAAGGAATCACAGATCCAGTCCCTAAATGGACTTTGTTAGGAGAGAACTGATAGGAGAAGGAAAGCAAACACTTAGGAGTCCTGATTAAAAGGTGCTTCGGGAAGATCTGAGGACTTACCTGGAACATGACTTGGCAATTTCCAGTAGTCAACACAGTTGTCTTTCCAGGCTCTTGTATAATTGGAGGGCACTGTCCTGAGATGGCAAATTAAGGACAGGAAAAAGCAGTCATGAAAAATCGGGACTATCTTGCAGCTCTGTGACACACCTGCGTGGAGAAACACAAGGGGAATCATTTTCTAGGGCTCCGACCTTATTTGAACTAACAGAGTATTCCTTGGCACGACGTAACTAAACCATTTACTAGGTTCCACCTGCAAGTAAATCAACGTTTATATTACCTAAGAGAGAAACTCATAAAACAACAGTAGTAAGCATGTTAAATATGAGCTGATTTAATCGTCACCACTCTGCACGGTGGGCATTCACATTATTCCAGATTTCTTTTTTTAAACGACTTGACAATTGAAAGGGCGATATTGAAACAACTGTTCAAGGTTACACAACCGGAAAGCGTCAGCTACTGGATGACACAGAAACAAGTGCAGACGGCGTTTTCTTCCGTCGGTACTCCGTGCACTCGCTCGCCCATTTTCTTTTCACGAGCTCTACGGGGTGGACGCCGCCTGGAAACCCTTCCACACAGCAAGGCCCAGAGGCCCGGAGAGCTAAGGCCCTCGTGGGCTCACACCGCGGGGAGACGCTGGGAGCAGCAAGGGCTCGGGCCGTGCCAGCGCCCGGGGCCGGGGCCGTTAGCCGGAGGCCCGCGCCAGCCCCCCCGGGGCCCACGCTTGCCCAAATCCGCGCACCGGACGCGCCGGGTCGCTGTGCGCGGACAATGGTCGCCGCCCTCACGGAAACTGCACCGCCGCGTCCTCCCAGCGTCCAGGTCGGAGAATTCCGCCTGGCCCGACACTAGCGCGGGGTGGACCACGAGCGGAGCCCCCAGCAAGGCGCCATTTCTCAGACTTCTCCGCGCCGCACACACTAGTTACCGGCGCTGCGCCCGGTCGCCTCCAGCAAAACCACACTTCCCAGCAGTCTCCGCGGCCGCGCGCGGTCTCCGCGCCCCGCGAGAACTCGGCCTGGACGCGTGGGGCGGCGGGACACGCACGCAGAGTGAGGAGGGGCGACGGGAGCCTCTGGTGGACTCGCCGCCTGCTCCCCGCTGCGTTGTAAGAGCCATCGCGTGTGAGTCCCGGAAAAGTGTGCGGGGGAACGTGGTCGTTCGCACGTGGGTTCTGCCGGCCGCCTTCCGACCTGACCTTTCAGACGCGCTTAGGCGTCGGGAGTAGTTCACTTCTTAAAACCCTCTCTTCTCCCAAAACTCCCTCCAGCAAATGCTCCACGTCTATTCTCAGTAGAAAAACTTCTTGGAATTTTTTTCTAAGTTAATTTTCTATAATTTAAATAGGGAAACATTCCTATGACTTTCCTGGGCTGCTTTTCTCTAGGTCAGTGTCATCTCATTACTAAATATGAGAGACACGTTTCTTTTCTTGACCTCTTAGCATTTGCTATAACTCACCATTTTTCATCAGTCTCTTCTCATGGTTCTATGATACTACATTTTTCTCAAATTTCATCTTCACGGCTGCTGCTTCTCAGTTTCCTTTTGTTCATCTTTTTTGAGCTCTAAATGGTTGTGCTGCCCTAGCAGGTCTGGCTCAGTGGATAGAGCGTCGGCCTGTGGACTGAAGGGTCCCGTGTTAGATCCCTAGTCAGGGCACATGCCCGGTTGTGGGCTCAATCCCCGGTGGGGGGTGTGCCGGAAGCAGCCGATCAATGATTCTCTCTCATCGTTGATGTTTCTAGCTCTCTCCCTCTCTCTTCCTCTCAGAAATCAATAAAATTATTAAATAAAAAAATTAAAATGGGTGTGCTTTTTAATTTTTTTAATTTTTTTTTTTTTTGGTTAATCCTCACCTGGGGATACTTTTCCATTGATTTTTTTTCTTTTTTTTTTTTTTTTAGAGAGAGAGGTGAAATGTAGGGAAAGAGACAGACAGAAACCTCGATGTGAAAGAAACACATCGATTGGTTGCCTCCCTCACAGGTCCAACTGGGACAGGTCAAGCCTGCAACCAAAGTACATGCCCCTGACCCGAATCAAACCGGGGACCCTTCAGTCTGCAGGGCAAAGCTCTATCCACTGAGCCAAACCGGCTAGGGCTTGAGCTCTAAATGTTAAAGGGACCCAGGACTTGATACTTGGCCTCCATTTTTCATATTTTCTACATGTTTTCAGTTTTGCATTTTCATGTGTTTATGAATCATTTTTAAATATGACTCAAGTCTTTATCTATAGCCCAGCCTTGCCTCTCCGTGGAATTCAATCCACATGTCTACCTCTTTACCTCCCAGCTCACGTGGTTGTTCATTGTCAAACTGCACAAGTTTCACCAGACCCACACAGGTGTTGTCTCCTTATTCCCATCCTCTTTCAAGCCCCCACCAATTAGTAAATGGAATCACCATCCCCCTATTCGATAAAGCTGACCATCCAGACATTTCCCTTTATTTCACTCTTGTCCCCACCCTCCCCACATGTACACAGTAACAGACAGTATTGTTTTCAATCTGCCTCAAAGTAATTGGCCATCAGGCTTCATTTATTCATATTCAGTTCTCACATTAAAAACTGCAATTGCGGAGGAAACTCCATACTGTTCTCCACAGTGGCTGCACCAGTCTGCATTCCCACCAGCAGTGCACGAGTGTTCCTTTTTCTCCGCATCCTCACCAGCACTTGTCATTTGTCAATTTGTTGATGATAGCCATTCTGACAAGTGTGAGATGGTACCTCATTGTTGTTTTGATTTGCCTCTCTGGGATGATTAGTGACTTTGAGCATGTTTTCATATGTCTCATGGCCTTCTGTATGTCCACTTTTGAAAAGTGTCTAAGTCCTTTGCGCATTTTTTTATTGGATTGTTTATTTTCCTTTTGTTGAGATGTATGAGTTCCCTATACATTTTGGCAAATATATTCTCTCATGCAGTGGGCTTTCTTGTTGTTTTGTTGATGGTTTCTTTTGCTATGCAGAAGCTTTTTATTTTGATGTCCCATTTGTTTATTTTCTCCATAGTTTCCATTGCCCTCGGAGCTATATCGGTAAAGATATTACTACGACATATGTCTGATATTTTGCTGCCTATGGATTTTTCTAGGATTTATGGTTTCCTGTATTACGTTTAAGTCCTTTATCCATTTTGAGTTTATTTTTGTGTATGGTGTAAGTTGGTGGTCTAGTTTCATTTTTTTGCATGTATCTGTCCAATTTTCCCAACACCATTTATTGAAGAAACTGTCTTGACGCCATTGTATGCTCTTGCTTCCTTTGTCAAATATTGATTGAGCATAATGGCTTGGGTCGATTTCTGGAGTCTCTGTTCTCTTCCATTGGTTCTTGTGCCAGTACCAGGCAGTTTTGAGAACAGTGGCTTTGAACCTTAATATAGCTTGATATCTGGTATTGTGATCCCTCCAACTTTGTTCTTCTTTCTCAAGATTGCTGCGGCTATTCGGGATCTTTTTTGTTTGTTTGTTTCATATGAATTTTTGGAGAGTTTGTTCTAGGACTGTGAAATATGCTGTTGGTATTTAAATGGGGATTGCATTAAATCTATAGGTTGCTTTGGATAGTATGCACATTTTAATTATGTTGATTCTACCAATCCATGAACACGTATACCAGTATTCTTCCATTTGTTTATGTCTTCCTCTATCTCTTTTTTCAATGTCCTGTAGTTTTCCAAGTACAGTCTTTTACCTCCTTAGTTAAGTTTATTCCTAGGTATCTTAATTTCTTTGGTGCAATGGTAAATGGGAGTGTTTTTGTTGTTTCTGTTTCTGTGAGTTCATTATTGGTGTATAAAAAAGCCGTAGATTTTGGGTGTTAATTTTGTATCCTGCTACATTGCCGAATTCATTTATTAAATCTAGTAGTTTTTTTATGGAGTCTTTGGGGTTTTCAATGTACAATATCATGTCACCTGCGAATAGTGATAGTTTTATTTCTTCTTTTCCAATTTGGATGACTTTTATTTCTTCTTCTTGTCTAATGGCTATGGCTAGCACTTCCAGTACTCTGTCACACAGGAGTGGTGAGAGTGGGCATCCCTGTCTTGTTCCTGTTTTTAGGGGAAATTATTCTAGTTTTTGCCCATGAGTATGATGTTGGCTGTAGGTTTGTCATATAAAACTTTTATTATGTTGAGATATGATCCCTCTATTCCCACTTTGCTGAGAGTTTTTATCAAGAAAGGCTGTTGGATTTTGTCAAATGCTTTTTTCTGCATCAATTGATATGATTATGTGATTTTTGTCTCTCAGTTTGTTTATGTGATATATCATGTTTATTGATTTGTGGATATTGTACCATCCTTGCATCCCCGGCAATGGAGGAAGCCAAGCTTCCCGCCTGCCCTGGCTGGCCATGGGCTCCGCTCAAGGCTACAAAGTTTCAATTATAGAAGATAGATAAATCCCAGATACCTGCTTCCAGACCACGGGCATGGCCAGCCTGAAAACGGCCCTCAGCCCCTCACCCATGCTGGCCAGGCACCCCAGTGGGGACCCCTACTCTGAAGGGGGTGTGACCAGCCTGCAAACAGCCATCAGCTCCTCACCCAGGCTGGCCAGGCACCACAGCGGGACCCCCACCCTGATCCGGGACACCCTTCAGGGCAAACCAGCTGGCCCCCACCCGTGCACCAGGCCTGTATAATAAAATATTATATCCTATATAATAAAAGGGTAATATGCAAATTGACCCTAACAGCAGAAAGACTGGGAATGACTGGTCACTATGACACACACTGACCACCAGGGGGCAGACGCTCAATGCAAGAGATGCCCCTGGTGGTCAGTGCGCTCCCACAGTGGGAGCTCTGCTCAGCCACAAGCCAGGCTGACAGCTGCCAGCACAGCGGTGGTGGCGGGAACCTCTCCCGCCTCCTCAGCAGCACTAAGGATGTCCAACTGCAGCTTAGACCTGCTCCCCACTGGCAAGTGGACATCTCCCGAGGGCTCCGGGCTGCCAGAGGGATGTCTGACTGCCAGCTTAGGCCCAATCCCACAGGGAGTGGGCCTAAGCCAGCAGGTGGACATCCCCCGAGGGGTCCCAGACTGCAAGAGGGCACAGGCCGGGCTGAGGGATCCCCCCAAGTGCACAAACTTTTGTGCACTGGGCCTCTAGGTTTTTTATAATTCTTTGTATTTCTGTGGAGTCTGTTGTTATTTCGCCTCTTTCATTTCTGATTTTGTTTATTTGGGTCCTCTCTCTTTGATCTTCGTGAGCCTGGCTAGAGTTTCATCAATCTTGTTTATCCTTTCAAAGAATCAGCTCTTGGTTTCATTGATTTTTTGTATTTTTTTTTTTGGTCTCTATGTCATTTATTTCATCTCTAATCTTTATTATTTCCTTCCTCCTGCTCATTCTGGGCTTTTCTTGTTGCTCTCTTTCTAATTCTTTAAGTTGTAGAGTTAGATAGTTTATTATCAGTTTTTCATGTTTTTTGAGGTAGGCCTGTAATGCTATGATCTTCCCTCTCAGGACTACTTTCACTGTGTCCCAGAGATTAAAAATGGAACTCCCATTTGACCCAATAATCCCACTTCTAGGAATATGTCCCAAGAAATCAGAAACACCCATCATAAAGGACACATGCACCCCTATGTTCATAGCAGCACAATTTACAATAGCCAAGATTTGGAATCAACCTAAGTGCCCATCAGAAGATGAGTGGATTAAAAAGCTGTGGTACATCTACACAATGGAATACTATGCTGCTGTAAAAAGGAAAGAACTCCTACCATTTACCACAGCTTGGATGGACTGGGAGAGCATTATGCTAAGTTAAATAAGCTAGTCCAGCCGTGGGCAAACTACGGCCCGCAGGCCGGATCCAGCCCGTTTGAAATGAATAAAACTAAAAAAAAAAAAAACCGTACCCTTTTATGTAATGATGTTTACTTTGAATTTATATTAATTCACACAAACACTCCATCCATGCTTTTGTTCCAGCCCTCCGGTCCAGTTTAAGAACCCATTGTGGCCCTTGAGTCAAAAAGTTTGCCCACCCCTGAGCTAGTCAGAGAAAGAAAAATATCACATGATCTCACTCATTTGTGGAATATAATGAATAACATAAAACTGATAAACAAAAAAATCCAGAGACATAGAAGCATCTAATAGTCCATCAATCTTCAGAGGGAAGGCAGGGGAGGGTGGGAGTTGAGGGCAAGAGATCAACCAAAGGATTTGTATGCTTCATATAAACTT